GGGGGGGGATTCAGATGAGGCAGCGCCCGCCCGGGAGAGCCTTTCTTACTCCTCATCCTCCTCTGCGATTGTCTCTGCGCGCGGCGCCGCCGCGGCCGGCGTCTTGGAGGGCGAGCCGGGCAGCGGGTGTTCGGGGACGAAGCAGAGGCAGAGGAAGGCGAGCAGGCCGGTCGCGGCAATGCCGATGAAGACCCAGCGGAACGAGAGCTGCATGGCCTCGACGGCCAGGCCACGCTGCTTGACGGGCAGCTTCCAGATCGTCGAGACGTCGGAGCGGATGGCGCGGATGGTCTGCGCGCGCGTGCAAAAGCAAGCAAAGGAGGGGTCAGAGAGGGGGCCTTGCAAGAGAGAGGGAGGGAGGCAAAGAGAGACGCACGTGGGCGGAGAGACCGGAGGCGGCAAGGTTGGCCTGCAGCTTGCCCTGCAGGAGCGCGTTGGACACTGTGAGGGCAAGGGGGGGGGGCACAGGTGATTTGTCAGGGAGCATGCTCTTTGCAAGTGCTCTGCGAGGTAAGCATCACTCACGGCTGATGCCGAGCACGGAGCCCGTGGCGCGGAAGAGGTACGTGCTGGGGGGCGGAGAGGGCGCGCGCGGTTTAGCACAGAGCTGCGCAGAGAGAAGGCGAGTCGGGGGGGCCACCACAAACTCACACGCCCGTCGCGGCGGCCATCATGCTCGGCTCGATCGAGGCGATGAGGGCGACGAGGCTGTGCGTGCGAGAGAGGTCAAATGTCAGCATCTTCGCGCCACAACGGGGTCAGCGCCTTTGGCATCGTTGGCGCCCTAAACGCACGTAATCGTCAAGGTGCTGCCAAATGCCGCACCGCCAAACGGCATCGTGATCCAGTAGAGCCACTCGGGCGTGACGCCGCGCTGCCAGAAGCACATGCTCAGCGGGCCAATGAAGGCACAGGCGCCGCCGAGGAGCATCATGCGCTTGTAGCGCCCCGTGCGCGCCATCATCAGGCCCGCGCCCAGCGAGCACGACGAGGCGACTATGGCGTTGGGAATGAGATGCAGGCCGGCGTACGACGAGGAGGTGCCCTCGACGCTGGTGAAGTACATCGGCACGTTGAAGACTGGGGCAAAACAGGGTCAGCATGGAGGAAGCAAGGCTAGGCCAGGGCGGAGGACGCAGGGGGGCGAGACAAAGGTGAGGCCTGGCGCTGCTCGCGTCGCCGCCTCCCCCCCCCCTCTCCCCGTCCTTGTCCTAGGGGCTGCTCGCTTTGTCTCCCCACCTGATCCCCCCCACCAATCCCCCTGCTCAGCTGGGGCGCTGCTCGCGTCGCTGCCTCCCTGCTGCTGCTGCTGCCTCTCCCGCCCCCCTTCCGTTCGTCCCTGCCGCCTTCTCCGTGTTCCCAAGCAAGCAACAACTCACTAATGCCAAACTGGCTCATGCTGATGAACCAGCACGCGAGCGCCACGGCGGCGGGCGTGCGCGAAAAGAGGACCTTGAGGGGCATGATGGGCTCGCGTGCCACGTACTTTTCCACGAGGACAAAGAGGACGAGGATCACCATGCCGCCCACCAGGCTGCCGACGACGAGCCTGTCGCTCCACTCGCGCTCGTTGCCGCCCATGCTGAGGCCTGCCAGGAGCAGCGTGATGCTCGACACGAGCGTCAGCGCGCCAAAGACGTCGATGCGCTTGAACTTTTCCTTCATGCTTCCGGGGCCCGCCGGAATGTCAATCTTCCACGACACGACGGCAAAGTGGATGAAGCAGAGGGGCACCTGCATGAGAAAGGCAGTGCGCCAGCCAAGGCCGCCATCGGCGAGTGCGCCGCCGAGGGGACCGCCGACGGCGGCACCAGTGGCAAAGACGAGGTTGCCGAGTCCTTGCCATGTGCCGCGTGCCTTGATGGAGACGAGGTCGGAGGTGACGATGGTGCTCATGCTCGTAAGGCCGCCGCCGCCAATGCCCGCAATGGCACGCGCCACGCACAGCTGCCCAAACGTCTGCGACAGGCCGCACAAAAGCGTGCCCAGCGCAAACACGGCGGAGGCAAAGAGCGTAGCTGGCTTGCGCCCGAAAATGTCCGATAGACGCCCGTACAGCGGCTGGAAGGCCGTCTGCGTGAGCAGGTAGGAGGTCTGTAGGCGGAATGAAGGGTGGAGAAGGCAGCGCGGAGAGCGAAGAGCAAGAGCGAAGAGCAGAGCGTCAGCCCCGCCAACATCCGGAGCATTCTGCGCACAACAGCAGCAAGACTCACACCCAGCCACCCAACCTCCTTGCTGACGTGGAACTCGCTGCCGACCTTTGAGAGAATGGTGGCGACGACGGTGCCGTCGAGGGCTGCGACGAATGTGCTTGAAACAGGGAGGGAGTCGGGAGTCAGTATGGGGGGGGGGGGGGAAGCACGGGGCGAGAAGGGGGGAACGTTTGACAAGAGTGTGACTTGGGCGAGGGTCGGGCCGGGCACAGCAGCGAAAGGGGCTAGAGAGAAAGGGCAGGCCCAGAGTGCTCTTTTCTCTTGCGCTGCTGCTAACTGACCGGGCAACGCGAACTGCCCACCTCACCCCGACGCAGTTGCTTGCCCCCACTCTTTCGATCCACGCTTGCCCCCCCCCCCGGTTCCTTCCCTTGCTTCCCCCCCCCCCCCACGCCTCTCTCTCCTCCCTCTCTCTTGCTCTCCAAGACCAAACTCACCCAATCCACATGGCGCCCATGATAATGAGCAGATCGGGGCGACGCGTCTCCTGCTCCTCTGCAATGGCGTCGGGCACGCGCAGGCCCGAGGGGTTGATGCTAAAGTGGCTCTGATCCGGTGGGGGCGCAAAGGCCGACGAGTTGGGGTCGACGCCGTGCGAGGCATCGCGAACTGGGAAGGGAGAAAGGGGGTTCAGCACAAGAAAATTGGATGGCAGGGAAAGAGGGAGATGGGAGATGCCGAGGGAGCACGTCGCAAGTGCTGCAAGAGTCGTCGAGCCAAAAGCCGGGATGCCCTCGCCTCAAGGAGCCCTGTTTGCCAAGGCACACAGCGTGCGCTGTAGCCGCCGCCGCCGCCGCAGCCGCAGCAGCAGCACGACAGCGACGGGCATCTCTCATCTTGCCCCTCTTCCATCTCCTCTCTCTCTGCTCGCTCGCTCCCTCGGCGCCTTGCCTCTCCTCTCTCTCCCTTCCATCTCCTCCGCCTCGCATGACACGTTCTCATGCCGCAAAGTAATCCGCTCCTTGCCCCCCCCCCACCCCCCCCCGCGCGTGGTTGTGCAGGGAAACCTGGCCTACTCACTGGCGCTAAAGGCGCTCTCCTGCGCGAGAATCTCCTCGTCGGTCATCTGCTGTGCGGGCTGCGAGGAGAAGGTGCCGAGGCCGCCGGGCCGCGAGGCGGCGTTGGCCTGGTTGGCGAGGAGGGGCGTGCGCTCCGACATTGTTTGGCGGAGGGAGGAAGAGGGCCGGTGTGAGGGTAAGGGAAGGGAAGAAGGAGCGTCCGAGAAGCTCGATATCGGAAGGGGCGCGCTGGCGCAGAGAACGCGCGCGGCGCTGCGCCCAGGCCGGCCTTCGCCTTCCTCCTTGGCTCGCGGCGTGCGGCGCGCCTCGAGCGAGAGAGAGACGGGCGTTGGGCCGCGGCTCCGCACGCCGGCCGCGCGGCGCGCTGGCGCCAAAACGACGCCGCGCGCGCATGATAAGAAATTCGCCTCGCTGCTCCACTCCGCCGTCTTCTCGCGCCACACCGCTCTGCCACGTCCAGCCTCGCAGGTCGCAGCCGCTTTCTTCCAGGCTCGCGCGACTCGAGAGAGAAGTTCTCGGCGAGAGGCAGAGACAGGGTTGCGGAGAGAGGTGAGAAGAAGAAGAAAATGCAAGAGGAGGGAGAAGGTCAGACGACGATGTCCATGTCGTGCGAGCCGCCGGCTGCTCTGCTCGCTCCGACGGTCGGCCGCAGCGAGGCCCTTTGACAGGCTGCGAGACGAGCGCCCGTCCGCAGCAGCAGGGATGCAGCTTTTTCTCACTACCGCGAGCAAGTTGCTTCGTGAGCAGCCCCCTCCGCCAACGGCTGTCTGTTCTTGAAGGAGAGCAACTCTCTCTTGCTCGCATCTCTCGGGCGGGCAGCCCTTCAAGCTTTGTGCTTGCGCTGCCCTCATTCTGCCTCTCTGCTCAGCAGCTCTGCCCTTCTCGCCCGCGTCGCCGCAGCAGCAGACGCACAGGGCGTAACGCCAAAGATCTGTCTCTTCCCCCTCGCCCCCCCCTTTCTCTGCAAAGGGCTCTGAACGGCAGCTCCGAGTGACCGCATTGCCGCTCTTTGCCGCGCGTCTTGAAGTGAGAGTCTTCTTGCGCGCCGCCTCTCAAGGCAAGTGAAGCACGGCAACGGGAGGTAGGTAAGTACATGTCGGTCTCTGGGTAGCTGTGATTTGCTCTGGGTGCAAGCTGCGATCGATTCAAGGACGAAGAAGAATGCAAACAAAGCGCCGTTGCCCACCTCAAGCCAAGCTCCACGCCTCCATCAGGTGTGGGGCTTGCCGCCCAGCGCCTCTCAGCTGCAGTAAGAGTGCATGAACGAGCTAGCACAGAGAGTCAGCTCTGAGCTTGCCACGAGAAAGAATGAAGTCTCAGCCTGCGCGCTCTCTCTCTCTCTCTCTCTCTCTCTCTCTCTCTCTCTCTCTCTCTCTCTCTCTCTC